GACAAATATGAGATATGTTTTTGTCATAGGGCTGTAGTTATGTTAATACAATTTTAGTATGTTGAGATGATGCGCTACTTTTGACATGTTGCAGACAGTGTTGAAATATTTCTGACAAATATCTGATAATTTTGATGTATTTTTACTAAAGTTGGTACTTTATGATTTGTTCCTAACTTCTATCTCACATAATATTGACCATTTCTAATGTTTAGCATAGTTTTGATACATTTCTGATAATTTTGACAAATATCTGGTAATTTTAATATATTTTGAATACTGCTACTAATTTTGACATATTTTCGACGTATTTTTAGCATATATGATATAGTTCTGATACATTGATTACATAATTATACTACAAATCAATGTAGTTCTTGCGTATTGAGATGTTTGACATAGTTTTGATATATTTTGGACAGTTTTAACAGATTCCTGAGAATTCTGACAATAATCTAATTGTTCTGATCTACATTAATCACATTTTAGAACGTTCTGATGTGTTCCAAAGTCATATTTTGTAAAGATCTAAGGTTATGTCTAAGTTAGACATAGTCTTAACACATCCTTGATAACTTTGACATTCTTTTGGTAATTTTGAAATATATCTGATGTGTTTCTGACATATATGACACAGTTCTGATACATTAATCATATAATTATACTACAAATCAATGTAGTTCTTGCGCACTGAGATGATTGACATAATTTTGACAAATTCTGGACAGATTTAACTTATTTCTGAGAATTCTGACAATAATCTAATCGATCTTATCTATATCAGTCGCATTTGAGAACGTTCTGATATGTTTCAAAGCCATATCTTGCATAGATCTAACGTTGTGTTTATGTTAGACATAGTTTTGATACATCCTTGATAACTTTGACATTATTTTGATAATCTTGACATATATCTGATGTATTTCTGACATATATGACATAGTTCTGATACATTGATTATATATCTATACTAGAAATCAATCTAGTTCTTGCGTACTGAGATGTTTGACATAGTTTTGACAAATTCTGGACAGATTTAACATATTTCTGAGAATTCTGACAATAATCTAATCGTTCTGATCTATATTAATCACATTTGAGAACGTTCTGATGTGTTCCAAAGTCATATCTTGTATAGATCTAACGTTATGTTTATGTTAGACATAGTTTTGATATATCCTTGATAACTTTAACATTATTTTGGTAATCTTGACATATATCTGATGTATTTCTGACATATATGACATAGTTCTGATACATTGATTATATATCTATACTAGAAATCAATCTAGTTCTTGCGTACTGAGATGTTTGACATAGTTTTCTGATGTATACCAAAGTAATATCTTGCATAGATCTAACGTTATATTTATGCTAGACATAGTTTTAACACATCCTTGATAATTTTGACATTCTTTTGGTAATTTTGACATATATCTGATGTATTTGTGACATATATGACACAGATCTGATACATTAATTATATAACTATACTACAAATCAATGTAGTTCGTGCGTACTGAGATGTTTGACAAATTCTGGACAGATTTAACATATTCCTGAGAATTCTGACAATAATCTAATCAATCTTATCTATATCAGTCGCATTTGAGAACGTTCTGATATGTTTCAAAGCCATATCTTGCATAGATCTAACGTTATGTTTATGTTAGACGTAGTTTTGATACATCTTTGATAATTTTGACATTCTTTTGGTAATTTTGACATATATCTGATGTATTTCTGACATATATGACACAGTTCTGATACATTGATTATTAACTATACTACAAATCAATGTAGTTCGTGCGTACTGAGATGATTGACATAATTTTGACAAATTCTGGACAGATTTAACTTATTTCTGAGAATTCTGACAATAATCTAATCGATCTTATCTATATCAGTCGCATTTACGTTCTGATATGTTTCAAAGCCATATCTTGCATAGATCTAACGTTATGTTTATGTTAGACATAGTTTTGATACATCCTTGATAACTTTGACATTATTTTAGTAATTTTGACATATATCTTATGTATTTCTGACATAAATGACATACTTCTGAAAGATTGATTATATATCTACACTAAAAATCAATGTAGTTCTTGCGTACTGAGATGTTTGACATAGTTTTGACAAATTCTGGACAGATTTAACATATTCCTGGGAATTCTGACAACAAACTAATCGTTCTGATTTATATTAATCGCATTTGAGAACGTTTTGATGTGTTCTAAAGTCATATCTTGCATATATCTAACGATATGTTTATGTTAGACATAGTTTTGATACATCCTTGATAACTTTAACATTCTTTTGGTAATCTTGACATATATCTGATGTATTTCTGACATATATGATATAGTTCTGATACATTGATTATATATCTATACTAGAAATCAATCTAGTTCTTGCGTACTGAGATGTTTGACATAGTTTTGACAAATTCTGGACAGATTTAACATATTCCTGAGAATTCTGACAATAATCTAATCGTTCTGATCTATATCAGTCGCATTTGAGAACGTTCTGATGTATTTCAAAGTAATATCTTGCATAGATCTAACGTTATATTTATGCTAGACATAGTTTTAACACATCCTTGATAATTTTGGCATTCTTTTGGTAATCTTGACATATATCTAATGTATTTCTGACATATATGACATAGTTCTGAAAGATTGATTATATATCTACACTAGAAATCAATGTAGTTCTTGCGTACTGAGATGTTTGACATAGTTTTGACAAATTCTGGACAGATTTAACATATTCCTGAGAATTCTGACAACAAACTAATCGTTCTGATCTATATTAATCTCATTTGAGAACGTTTTGATGTGTTCTAAAGTCATATCTTGCATATATCTAACGATATGTTTATGTTAGACATAGTTTTGATATATCCTTGATAACTTTGACATTCTTTTGGTAATCTTGACATATATCTGATGTATTTCTGACATATATGACATAGTTCTGAAAGATTGATTGTATATCTATACTAGATTTCAATGCAGTTCTTGCGTACTGAGATGTTTGACATAGTTTTGACAAATTCTGTACAGATTTAACATATTCCTGAGAATTATGACAACAAACTAATCGTTCTGACCTATATTAATCGCATTTAAGAACATTCTGATGTGTTCTAAAGTCATATCTTGCATATATTCAACGATATGTTTATGTTAGACATAGGTTTGATACATCCTTGATATCTTTGACATTCTTTTGGTAACCTTGACATATATCTGATGTATTTCTGACATATATGACATAGTTCTGAAAGATTGATTGTATATCTATACTAGATATCAATGTAGTTCTTGCGTACTGAGATGTTTGACATAGTTTTGACATATTCCCAACAGTTTTAGCATATTCTTCAGAATTCTGACAATAATCTAATCGTTCTGATCTATATTAGTCGCATTTGAGAACGTTCTGATGTTTTTCAAAGTCATATCTTGCATAGATTTAACGTTATGTTTATGTTAGATATAGTTTTGATACATCCTTGATAACTTTGACATTCTTTTGGAAATTTTGATATATATCTGATGTATTTCTGACATATATGACATAGTTCTGATACATTCATTACATAATTATACTACATATCAACGTAGTTCTTGCGTACTCAGATATTTGACATAGTTTTAACATATTCTAGACAGATTTAACATATTTCTGAGAATTCTGACAATAACCTAATTGTTCTGATCTATATCAGTCGCATTTGAGAACGTTCTGATGTGTTACAAATTCATATCTTGCATATATCTGACGTTAGACATAGTTTTGAAACATCTTTGATAATTTTGACATAATCTGATGTATTTCTGACATATATGACATAGTTCTGAAAGATTGATTGTATATCTATACTAGATATCAATGTAGTTCTTGCGTACTGAGATGTTTGACATAGTTGTGACATATTCCCAACAGTTTTAGCATATTCTTCAGAATTCTGACAATAATCTAATCGATCTTATCTATATCAGTCGCATTTGAGAACGTTCTGATGTTTTTCAAAGTCATATCTTGCATAGATCTAACGTTATGTTTATGTTAGATATAGTTTTGATACATCCTTGATAACTTTGACATTCTTTTGGTAATTTTGACGTATATCTGATGTATTTCTGACATATATGACATAGTTCTGATACATTCATTACATAATTATACTACAAATCAACGTAGTTCTTGCGTACTGATATATTTGACGTAGTTTTAACATATTCCTAAGAATTCTGACAATAACCTAATTGTTCTGATCTATATCAGTCGCATTTGAGAACGTTCTGATGTGTTACAAATTCATATCTTGCATATATCTGACGTTATGGTTATGTTAGACATAGTTTTGAAACATCTTTGATAATTTTGACATAATCTGATGTATTTCTGATATATATGACATAGTACTGATACATTGATTATGTATCTATACTACAAATTAATATAGATCTTGCATATTGAGACCTTTGACATGGTTTTAATACATTGTGAACAATTTTAATACATTCCTGAGAATTCGGCCAATAATCTTATAATTCTGATTGATGTCAGTCATATTTAAGAATCTTCTGATATGTTCTTAATTCATATCTGGTATGGATCTGAAGTAAGATTTATTCCAAATATAGTTTTGACACATTCCTGATAGTTTTGACATTATCTGATATAATTTTCTGATATATGACACAATTCTGATATAATAACTTAATATAATTCGATATGTTCGACATAATTCCGTCATTGTAAATGATTGTAGATGCGTTTCTAGGAAATTTATGAGGTATCTGATGATTCTGATAATTTTTCTGAAAAACTTTACTTTATTCCGACATATTTCTTACTCAATTTAACATAGTTTTGACTTATCTAATTAGTTTTAATTTATTTCTGCTGATTTAATTCTTAATTTAGCTGATATACAAAAATCAGAAAACTTTGATAATAATATTTATTAATTTTTGTTACAGGGTCCTCCACAACCTGGTCAGCCGTTTAAATTTACAGTTGGTGAATCTTGTGATAGGATAAAAGAGGAGTTTAATTTTCTTCAAGCACAATATCATAAGTAAGTTAATCACGTCAATAGTTCATACGTTGAGAGTTAATTTTGAGCTGATTCTGATGTTGACGCATTATTATTAAGGAACGATTTGAATAATTCAAGTGATATTCCGGCCGAACTTGATAAATATTTAAAATTATTTAAGTGGGCTTTTCAATGCGATCAATTATTGATGGGCAGCGCGGTCGGTCATTTTCTGCCCAAAACTGGTTAATTATTGCTTCGATGCACTTGTTCAACGGTCAATTATTGAAATTTACCTAAAGACTGGTTAAATGGTTTTAAGAGTGATGGGTTGTGTATAATTTACGGTTTTAAAACTCGACCCTAAATGGATAGATATGAATTTTAATAAACCCCAAGTAGGAACTATTTTAAAATTTTAATTCCTTTAGAATGAGGAACTATTAAATAAATCAAAAAAAAATTTTTTTCTTCTCCTTAACCAATCTTCTTTGGATAATCATATACCTGTGTGTAATTATTAACATTTTGGGCGTGGTAGAATCACAAAGGCCCCCCTATATTATAAATCACCTATCTTAATTACACATCTTGGGGCGTAGACTTTTTCGGGCGAAAACGACCGCAACCTAATAATAATAATAATAAGGTTAAAAGTTAGCGCCTTTATGTATAAATTTTTTTTATTGTTTCAGTCTCAAACTCGAATGCGAGAAATTGGCTAGCGAAAAAATAGAAATTCAAAGGCACTACGTCATGGTAAGTAACTTAATTGAGATGAAATTGATGTTGTTATTATTACTCAATCAATAATTAAATAATTGTTTACACGTACGATCTAAATTATACTAGCTATTATTGTAACATCAATCAAGGCATCATTGCGACATTAATGTGTCAACATATGGGTTTGTATTTCCCTTATGATTGATGACGATGAGAAGAGATAAACAACTATGATTTTTTCTTCTTTAAATTGTAATAGAAAAAAATGTTAAATCATGGTGGTGTTTACACACAATTACACCTGATCGACAGGTAAATTATCGCAGTGGCCGATTCGAATTGAACACAGCTTAACACGGTTCTGATTTATGACCTAGCCCGGTGTGTAACATTTCATGACGCGCCGATATCGGACTCGATCCTGGATAATTTTTTTTGCTGAAAGCTTCATTCTACAACGTAACGTATCTCCGGTTGGCAATAAAACAGATAATTGGCCCGTTTAATTGCTCCCGGCGAATAAAACCCGGTGGGGTAATAAATAAATAAAACGAACGTGATAAATTATCAACGGTTTTGGTAAAAAATTAACGAAATTTTTAATTGAAATACAGTAAAACCTCGATAGAACGGACAAAACATTTTTAACTCATATATTATACTGGGGTATTCCCCGATTATTCTATATTTTTCATTGAACTAAAACTAGAACTAACACTAGACTAGTTTCGGATCTGGACGTGTGTCTTTAATGGATGTTAATGGTAACACTTCCGAATCGAAGCATGTTATAAAAAAACTTTTAGAACAAAAGTTGTAGCAAATTTTATTCTTAGCAATATTGCTATCTTTCATTTTTGCTCTTAGATGCGTCAATATCGAGAAAAATACGAAAATATGAAAATTTGATGAATTTCGTTATTTTGCTAGTTAATGGTAATACTCGGAAAATGGAGAATGCTATAAAAAAACGTTGAGAATAAAAGTTGTTGCAAATTTTATTCTTAACAATATTGCTCTCTTTCATTTTTGCTCTTAGATGCGTCAATATCGAGAAAAATACGAAAATATGAAAATTTGATGAATTTCGTTATTTTGCAAGTTAATGGTAACACTCGGAAAATGGAGAATGTTATAAAAAAACGTTTAGAGTAAAAGTTGTTGCAAATTTTATTCTTAACAATACTGCTATCTTTAATTTTTGCTCTTAGATGCGTCAATATCGAGAAAAATACGAAAATATGAAAATTTCAAGAATTTGTTACTTTTGCAAGTACTTAATGGTAACATTCTGGAAACGAAGCATGTTATAAAAAAACTTTTAGAACAATAGTTATTGCAAATATTATTCTTGACAATATTGCTCTCTTACACTTTTACTTTTAGATGCGTCAATATCGAGAAAAATACGAAAATATGAAAATTTGATGAACTTGTTGCTTTTGCAAGAACTTAATGGTAACACTTTGGAAACTAAGCATGTTATAAAAAAACTTTTAGAACAAAAGTTATTGCAAATTTTATTCTTAACAATATTGCTCCCCTGCAGTTTTACTCTCAGATACAGAGAAATCGAGAAAAATACAAAAATATAAAAATTTGATAAATTTCGTTATTTTGCAAGTTAATGGTAACACTCGAAAAATGGAGAATGTTATAAAAAAACGTTTGGAGTAAAAGTTGTTGCAAATTTTATTCTTAACAATACTGCTATCTTTCACTTTTGCTCTTGGATGCGTCAATATCGAGAAAAATACGAAAATGTGAAAATTCGATGAATTTGTTGCTTTTGCAAGTACTTAATGGTAACATTCTGGAAACGGAGCATGTTATAAAAAAACTTTTAGAACAAAAGTTGTTGCAAATTTTATTCTTAGCAATATTGCTCTCTTGCAGTTTTACTTGTAGATGCGTCAATATCGAGAAAAATACGAAAATGTGAAAATTCGATGAATTTGTTGCTTTTGCAAGTACTTAATGGTAACATTCTGGAAACGGAGCATGTTATAAAAAAACTTTTAGAACAAAAGTTGTTGCAAATTTTATTCTTAGCAATATTGCTCTCTTGCACTTTTACTATTAGGGGCGTCAATATTGAGAAAAATACGAAAATATGAAAATTTGATAAACTTGTTGCTTTTGCAAGTACTTAATGGTAACATTCTGGAAACGGAGCATGTTATAAAAAAACTTTTAGAACAAAAGTTGTTGCAAATTTTATTCTTAGCAATATTGCTCTCTTGCACTTTTACTATTAGGGGCGTCAATATTGAGAAAAATACGAAAATATGAAAATTTGATAAACTTGTTGCTTTTGCAAGTACTTAATGGTAACATTCTGGAAACGGAGCATGTTATAAAAAAACTTTTAGAACAAAAGTTGTTGCAAATTTTATTCTTAGCAATATTGCTCTCTTGTACTTTTACTATTAGGGGCGTCAATATTGAGAAAAATACGAAAATATGAAAATTTGATGAATTTGTTGCTTTTGCAAGTACTTAATGGTAACATTCTGGAAACGGAGCATGTTATAAAAAAACTTTTAGAACAAAAGTTGTTGCAAATTTTATTCTTAGCAATATTGCTCTCTTGCACTTTTACTATTAGGGGCGTCAATATTGAGAAAAATACGAAAATATGAAAATTGGATGAATTTGTTGCTTTTGCAAGTACTTAATGGTAACACTTTGGAAACGGAGCACGTTATAAAAGAACTTTTAGAACAAAAGTTATTGCAAATTTTATTCTTAATAATATTGCTCTTTTGCACTTTTACTGTTAGATGCGTTAATATCGAAAAAAATACGAAAATATGAAAATTTGATGAATTTGTTGCTTTTGCAAATACTTAATGGTAACACTCGGGAAACCAAGCTTGTTATAAAAAAACTTTTACAACAAAAGTTGTAACAAATTTTATTCTTAGCAATACTGCTCTCTTTCTCTTTTTCTCTTAGATGCGTCAATATCGAGAAAAATATGGAAATTCGATGAATGTCGTTATTTTACTACTTGTGGCTAAACCCGAATGTTTCTAGTTCTAGATCTAGTGTTATAGCCGTAGTGTTAGTTCAAGTTTTAGTTGTTATTCAGCGTTAGATTGATGTATAGTTTTATCCGTTATTCAGAGCCAGGATGTTGTATATTTTTCTTGAACTAACACTAGATCTAGAAGTACACACATTCTGCTTTAGCCGCACCTCTCTTAAGACTTTATATTGCTAGTTCTAGGTGTAGTGTTAGTTCTAATACTAGTGTTTTCCGTATTAGTCCTTTATATCGAGGTTTTACTGTAATCAACCAAATTAAATTAAATTAAATTAATAATAACCCCCCCATTAACATAAACGTAATCCCAACTAATCGCGCCGACAACCAATTTACGTACCTTAGAACTTAGTTAACACCGAATCAATTTACCACTTCACCTTAAACGACCATAGTCGCATTAATCGTAATTACCAACGTTGCGTTGGTCAAAACAATTATTCTTGGAACAAACCTGAATACCCTTAAATGGATTCACCATCAATTATCATTCTTGCGAATAGAATCGGATTTAATTTATTTTCAAAAAGTTGATATACGCGATTTATGTACAAATGTGTTATTCGCATGTCGTTTTCAATATAAACGTCCTCGTTTAGTTAACGTCCAGAACGAAATCGGGGCGATTCTTTTCCCTTATAGCTTTGGGTAGTTTTCCTTTATAAAGGGGTGGTTTTTCCCTTGCGGCAATAGAAAACGATGCCTACCGCGTATAAACGGAAAATGGCGTGATAACGTACAATCATGTTCGCTCCTTCAAAACCTCCCTTTCTTACGAAAGAAAATGGCAAAATTGCAAATGATTTAAGGTGAAAAGTTTGTGGCGTGTTATACACTAATGAATGTTATTTTTTGTGTATATTTGCGTTTTAAAAGAAAGTATTAAAAAGGAAACAAATTATTACTGTTGAATAATAAAGTCTTCATAATCCAAATCGAAATATATTAAATTGGAAAACTTCATGTTGATGTGTATTTACATCTTATAAATCTTCTCTTCATTGATAATGTACCGAACAAGAAGCGGATCGGTCTTAAAAGTTCTTCGGCGCGGCTCTTTCGATGGTGTGTGATTTATACCCGTTTTACGATCGCTTCATACGGCGTCCGTTCGCATGAATTATTTATTTGCCAAGTTTTAAGAGCGCAGAGAATCACCAAGCATACTGTGGGAAAACGATTTCTATACTTATTCTTGGTATTTCAATCATTGTCACAAAAAAAATCCAATCGAAAAAGTTTTGCATTCAACTTCATATCAACACCTTTACTTCCATCTTTATAACAACACAAACAGAATCATGGTTATGTATTAACTAACAATGAGTTTGCTTCTAAATGTTTTTCATTTTATAAAGATATATCAAATGGTTTTTGAGCTTTTTAAAGATGGATGCCATAAAAAACTATTTAGTTTCTCGAAATCTATTTAATTCTCTATTAATATAGTGTTGATGTAGCGCATCGGCCGGAAGCAACCTCGACTTAATTAAACAACACATCTTTAAGAACTGTTTGGGTTTTGTATTGATATAGAATTGCATTACTGCCTCGGCCGCAAACAACCTCAATTACGCTGTGCGCTCTTGGCATATTTTTAGATTTTTATAAATATGGTGCCGATGTAGCCCCTCGGCCACATGCTACCGTAGCTTAATTGAACAACACACCTTTTAGATCTGTTCAGGTTTTGTATCAATATGGCAATACTGCCGCAAGCGACCTCGGCTTAATTACGCCGTGCGTTCTGTAAATTTATTAAGATTTCTATAAACTAATGCAGCGCCTCGGCCACAAGCGACCATAACATTATTAAACCGCACATCGTTGAAAATTATTGGGTTTTGCGTCGATATTGTTTCGATGTAGCGCCTCGGACGCATGCTACCGTAGCTTAATTGAACAACACACCTTTTAGAACTGTTCAGGTTTTGTATCAATATGGCAATACTGCCGCAAGCGACCTCGGCTTAATTATGGCCGTGCGTTCTGTAAATTTATTAAGGTTTCTATAAATATGGTGTTAATGCAGCGCCTCGGCCACAAGCGACCATAACATTATTAAACCGCACATTTTTGAAAATTATTGAGTTTTGTGTCGATATTGTGTCGATATTGTTTCGATATAGCGCTTCGCCTGCAAGCGACCTAGGCTTTATTAAATCATACATATTTGATAACATATCGATATGGCATTGCTCTACTGCCTCGGCCGCAAGCGACTTCGGCGTTATTACGGCGCACGTCTTTGATATGCACTTAAATTTCTATAAATATGGTGCCGATGTAGCGCCTCGGCCGCAAGCAACCTCGGCTTAATTAAACAACACATCTTTAAGAACTGATTGATATGGCATTGCATTACTGCCTCGGCCGCAAGCGACCTCGGCTTAATTATGCCGTGTGCTCTTGACATATTTTTAGATTTTTATAAATATAATGCCGATGTAGCGCCTCGGCCGCAAGCTAGCGTAGCTTAATTGAACAACACACTTTTTAGAACTATTCAGGTTTTGTATCAATATGGCAACATCGTGCGTTCTGGAAATCTATTAAGATTTTTATAAATATGGTGCTAATGTAGCGCCTCGGCCGCAAGCGACCTTGGCTTTATTAAACCATACATATTTGATAACATATCGATATGGCATTGCTCTACTGCCTCGGCCGCAAGCGACTTCGGCGTTATTACGGCGCACGTCTTTGATATGCACTTAAATTTCTATAAATATGGTGCCGATGTAGCGCCTCGGCCGCAAGCAACCTCGGCTTAATTAAACAACACATCTTTAAGAACTGATTGATATGGCATTGCATTACTGCCTCGGCCGCAAGCGACCTCGGCTTAATTATGCCGTGTGCTCTTGACATATTTTTAGATTTTTATAAATATAATGCCGATGTAGCGCCTCGGCCGCAAGCTAGCGTAGCTTAATTGAACAACACACTTTTTAGAACTATTCAGGTTTTGTATCAATATGGCAACACCGTGCGTTCTGGAAATCTATTAAGATTTTTATAAATATGGTGCTAATGTAGCGCCTCGGCCGCAAGCGACCTTGGCTTTATTAAACCATACATATTTGATAACATATCGATATGGCATTGCTCTACTGCCTCGGCCGCAAGCGACTTCGGCGTTATTACGGCGCACGTCTTTGATATGCACTTAAATTTCTATAAATATGGTGCCGATGTAGTGCCTCGGCCGCAAGCAACTTCGGCTTAATTAAACAACACATCTTTACGAACTGATTGATATGGCATTGCATTACTGCCTCGGCCGCAAGCGACCTCTGCTTAATTATGCCGTGTGTTCTTGACATATTTTTAGATATTAATAAATATAATGCCGATGTAGCGCCTCTGCCGCAAGCTACCGTAGCTTAATTGAACAACACAGCTTTTAGAACTATTCAGGTTTTGTATCAATATGGCAACACCGTGCGTTCTGGAAATCTATTAAGATTTCTATAAACATGGTGCCAATGTAGCGCCTCGGCCGCAAACGATCTCGGCTTTATTAAACCATACATCTTTGATAACATATCGATATGGCGTTGCTCTACTGCCTCGGCCGCAAGCAACCTCGGTGTTATTACACCGCACGTCCTTGATATGCACTTAAATTTCTATAAATATGGTGCCGATGTAGCGGCTCGGACGCAAGCGACTTCGGCTTTATTAAACCATACATCTTTGATAACATATCGATATGCCATTGCTCTACTGCCTCGGCCGCAAGCGACCTCGGCGTTATTACACCGCACGTCCTTGAAATGCACTTACATTTCTATAAATATGGTGCCGATGTAGCGCTTCGGACGCAAGCGACCTTGGCTTTATTAAACCATACATCTTTGATAACATATCGATAGGGCATTGCTCTACTGCCTCGGCCGCAAGCGACCTCGGCGTTATTACACTCCACGTCTTTGATATGGACTTAAATTTCTATAAATATGGTGCCAATGTAGCGCTTCGGCCGCAAACGATCTCGGCTTTATTAAACCATACATCTTTGATAACATATCGATATGGCATTGCTCTACTGCCTCGGCCGCAAGCGACCTCGGCGTTATTATACCGCACGTCTTTGATATGCACTTAAATTTCTATAAATATTGTGCCGATGTAGCGCCTCGGACGCAAGCGACCTTGACTTTATTAAACCATACATCTTTGATAACATATCGATATCGCATTGCTCTACTGCCTCGGCCGCAAGCGACCTCGGCGTTATTACGCCGCACGTCCTTGAAATGCACTTAAATGTCTGTAAATATAGTGCCGATGTAGCGCCTCGGCCGCAAGCAACCTCGGCTTAATTAACAACACATCTTTAAGAACTGATTGATATGGCATTTTAATACTGCCTCGGCCGCAAGCGACCTCGGCTTAATTATGCCGTGTACTTTTGACATTTTTAGATTTTTATAAATATGGTGCCAATGTAGCGCCTCGGTCGCAAGCAACCTCGGCTTTATTAAACCACATATCTTTAAAAATTATTGAGTTTTGTGTCGATTTTGTTAAACTTTGAAGTAATAATTTTTTATATAATAGCTGTACATTAATTTTTTTCTATTTTATTTCAGTATTACGAAATGTCGTACGGCCTCAACGTAGAAATGCACAAACAGGTAAGTTCCATTATTCCATTAACAGCCGTCCCTTTGGAGGGTTGCTTTTGAATACTTCAAACCCCCTTTCCATTGGAAAATGTTTTTTTTTTTACCTTTTAACTTTTCACCCTCCTGTTTAGTTGATCAAATATTAAAATTATAATTTCGTCTAGACCTTTCCGATATGAATTGAATTTTCCTTATTTAAATCATCCCCTTTGTTCATTTATTTAATTACAATTTACGAATTAATGTTGTCTAGCAAATAAAAGTGCAATCAAAAAATAAAGAGTAGTAGTTTTAGTAATGTTATGGTGGTGATATCTATAAAGTGGTTGGTCATAAATCTCGAAAGTTCGAGTTACGAGAACGTTTAGAGGGTGGGTGTGGGTAGGAAGAGAGGAGTAGAGCATCAATTTGCCCGGCACGATTTAATTTAGCGATAAAACCGTTTTCTCCCCTACCGCCGTCGTCTCGAAAAACGAAAGGGGCGCGCCAGATGCCGCTATACATAATTTTCGGGACCCTCTGGGGGTGGAAAAAAAAGTTATTGCCTTTTTTCTAGGGGTATAAGGTAAAAAAATTTTAATTTATAATTGATACCCATCGATATGGCCGCGCGTCCCAGCTCGTCGTTGGGGTGAATTTTAATGAAGGGGATGATAACGTCGGGGCGGAATGGAAAGTCCGGAAGGCACGTGCTCCGGGTATTAACGAAGGGGTCGATTAGCATAACAGAGATTGCGTACCACCGACCAAGTCTCGACTCTACGTCCCTTTGTTGTTGTTGTTTTTGTTCTTTTCTTTGCATATATAAAATAGGGGATGAAACGGAGATAGAAAGTAACTTTTTGCTATCCGGGTCTTACCCCCTACTGAATTATTTTCGTGTTTACCTACGCGAGTGTACGAGAGGGATGTTCTAAAAATCCCTGCGAAACCCCAGCACGTTACACTGCCACCTGGCGGCAACTTTTCATGCCACCCCCCCTAAATTCCCGTGTCGTCTCTAAGCCTGGTAATGTATTCAAAGGGATTACTCCCCGTAGGCCGTAACTTTTCCCTTCTACTTCAGCAGTCTCGACTAATGACACTATTGTACGCAAAGCCCCCGGACGGTTTTAAATAATTGAAAGGGGACGAGAGCGATTACGTTCACCCGGTTTGACATTCTTAATATTTCATTACTACTTTTTCAAAAAAAACTTTCATTTTTAAAACCCGATTAAAAAATACACCAATCGCTTTGAATGTATTACAACCCCTACAATAAAACTCACCCTGTTTTATTTTATGCCCAGGGGAGATATTCCCCTAGATATCATTGACACGAAAAACCCAACCAGGTGTTAGAGGTATCATTTTCTCCCTTTTTAATCACACATTCTCAATATACATTATCTAGATTAACCTAATTTTTTTTTCCACCTTGAGGGTGGAAGCCGAATCATAAACATGCCGAGAACTAGAATTATTCGGATTTAGCCGCACGTTTCTTAAGATGGCTAAACCCGAATTATTTTAGTTTTAGGTCTTGTGTTAGTTCTAGTGATAGTGCTAGTGTAAAACTAGAACTAACACTAAAACTAGAACACTAAAACTTAAACTTTCTAGTTCTAGGTCTAGTGTTAGTTCTAGTTTTAGTTCACTAATAATACACAACCTAGCACTATCTACTGCTAATTACCGCTACGTAACACTGTTACTAGTACTAACACTAGACGACAATGAAGAAACTCCCATGATAACAGCATTCCTTTACCTACATTGTATGCTGCACTACGTAACTTGCTGTACGTAGCTTAATGTCCTTTATACTGATTTCAATCAACCAAGACCATCTTCAGGTTAGTTTTGAATCATTATTAAAGTAACAATTGCTCCAATTCCCTTTTTTTTCAAGGTGTCCAATAAATGTTCAATTTTTGATTTATCATCAATTTCTTATCTATTCAATCTTCTTCTTCTCCAATGGCTTTACAACCTGTTGTCGGATTCTAACATTCCTCAATTTTTGCCTCCAAGCCTCTTTGTCCATGACCTTGAGGTCACCTTCAGGCGCATCTGAGACGCACGGCTAAAATCAAAACTTTCTAGTTCTAGATCTAGTGTTAGCTCTAGTTTTATTTGAATAAAAATATACAATAATCGCTGAATAACAACTAATCGCTGAGCTAGAGCTAACACTACCACTAATACTAACACTAGACATAGAACTAGAATTGAAAGAATGGAACTTGAGAATTCGTCACAATGACCAATGTTTTGTTTTACCAATACAATATCACCAATTTCTGGATTCGCGGTGTCTCTATGCCATTTCCCTCTTTGTTGAAGAGTAAATAACTAACAAAAAATAAAAATTAAAATTAACATTTTGACTCTTGTTCTTCGCTTCAGGGTGCATTTAAAAGATCTAAAAAAATCCACACATAGTTTTCGTAACCTCGGAGTGGTAATTGATAGTCACTTGACATGGGGCAGGCACATTGAAAGTATATTAAGAACTTTGAGAATATTACTGTATAAATTCAAATATCTAAGCTCCATACTCAATGCTTATCACTTAAAGACATTGTATCATTTTTTGATAGAGTCGACGCTGCTCTATGCAATTTTGGCAGGAGGTTACCTATACGATACTCATTTAAAACCATTGGAGGTAGGTACTACAGAGTAGGATTATTAAGAAGATATTAGGAAAGGAGCATTTATACCCATCAACACACCAAATTTATTTATATTCGAGGTTATAGCTTATACATGCAAAAATAGACATCTGCTAAGAATGTGGAATACCAATACTGTCAGTAACCCTGGTGACCATTAGGGCCTCCTCAACCTCAATCTTGTCAAACTGCATCTAACTCAAAGATTGGAGAAGGATCAACAAAAACTGAAGAAAAGAAATCAGCGAACATACTCCGACATCGTCACCGACAATAGTTTCATTCCATGACATCGTAGAAGGAATGACATCTGCATGTTTCTTAGACTTAGTAAAAGCCCAAAACACCTTTGGGTCAGATTGGATATTGCTTTTAGCTCTTCTAACATACTCCATGTAATTAAGATGGATTAGATACTTTGCACGACTCCTTAGAATTTAAAAAGTGAGCAATACTAATACTGTGATATTGGTTGCATACTTGCAATGATTACGTCGGGTACGATAATTAATAAACACACTGTATATGGGGTCACTACTGATCCCAGTGGTACCATAAGTTGTATTGCATAAGAATTGCTTATAGTTATTCCAAAGAGTTTGAGAATCACTGATATAAAGTATTTGAATGGTTTTCATTGGTGGCACAACCACCATAACCACTTGAATGCGGTCGCCCGCACGGCCAGTATTAACATTAACATATGTAGTTCGAGCGCCGACCGCGCCGGCGCTACTATCACCACCGCCGCCTCTGATTTACGCTCGCTAATTAGTCGCCCGCCAGAGCCGGCTCGATTTCGGTGCATTAAGAGCGGGCGGTGGTAACTCGGTTAAAACGGGGGGGTTGTAGAGGGCGCTGTGGCGTTAACCTACAAGTTCTAGTCGCTTTTGTTACGGAGACTAAGGGTGGGGTGAGTTTATAAGGGGAGACTTTAAAGGTGGAGGTTGATTGTGTAATTAAGACGCGGAACAATTTTTTGTAAAATTAATATAGGCAACCCATTTAACGTTAAGTTTTGATGCATTATTTTACGAGTTTATTGTACTAAACATAAAATTGAAATAAGGTAAATTTGGCAAAACAACTTCAACGCCCACATAACGACGACGACCATTAACGTTTACATCCTTGTTTATGTTCGTCGGGTAATAATAACACAACGAAACGGTTAAAGTACACGGGTTAAGTTGCAAAACAATAGGTTCATTCTGCAACGTTGGCACACACAATTCTACAACATCATCAATATTGAAAAACTTTATTTTAACTCTAACTTCAACTATCTTATGTAGAAAATAAGAAACTACGAGACATGGCACCCGTCCATTCGGGTATATGGAGTCAAATATTGACATAAGAGTTGGGTGGCGTGCTCACACTTGTCCTGGGGAAAAAGGGGGGGATGGTGCCTTCTGTGCAAACGGACGCCCCCTGAGAACGCTTCTTCTGTACACACATGTACACAGAGTGGTTCCCCCTTTCCTTTTTGGGGTCGCACGCCATTGGCCCGTACAAATTATTTGAGTTGCCGACTAAACTAACAAAACTAACGGGCGCCCTGTTTACTCATGGTATTACCAATGATGAAAACATGCACCGACGTGGTTTATCAACTAAAATCATTTTTTTTAAATTAAGGCTTAGAATGACAACGTAAAAAATGCGAAAGTAATCCGAGGAGATGAAAGATACGTTGGAAATAATATCACCCCCATTTTATCCTTTCTTTTTTTGGGGAGAAAATCCGGTCTCGTCACGTCCGACACCACAAAAAGCGGACCACGTCGTCCGGAAAATCTTGATATGTTTGTCGGGTTTTATCGGATCAAGTGGGGTCTCCCCCTCTTTACTTTCCGTTAAGGGAGTATAAGAAAAGTATAAGTTTACTACTAGGGTGAAAAAATCAAAAATGTTTTTCTGATGATCTCTTAAATATCGTTTACATTTAACCGTGATTGTTACGAGACTTTTTTTTGGATCCAACACCGTTTACAACCAATTTCTTTCATTAGCGTAGCTTTCACACACTCAATTTTTTATATAAGAGCATTTAATATTATACCGGTTTCGAAAAAAAGGTCATCTTCAGCTTTAATTTGAGATAAAAATCACTTATAAAAAAAGGATTAAAGTCGCACTTTAGTTAGCACAAGATATTACTACGTTGTATATTTTTATTGAAGTAAAACTAGAACTATCACTAGAACTATTTAATGAAGAACTTAAGTTAGAGGTACTTAATGGTAACACTCGGGAAACGGAGCATGTTACAAAAAAACTTTTGGAGCAATAGTTGTAGCAAATTTTATTCTTAGCAATATTGCTCTCTTGCACTTTTACTATTAG